AGTGAAATTAACATCGCACCCCGGATTCTCACCAATTTTACTGGAGTGATGCCACCTCAGTTCAAAAAGGATTTGGATTCCTATTTAAAAACTCGATCACCAGTCACTTTTCTTTCTGATCTGCGCAGCAACCTCCAGGTTAATTGGCTTAAGCTCTCTGCTGTGTGTTCTGTGGAAAGTACTTCATATGCACCATCCTGTGTGTGGTACATTTTAGGAACTGGTATTTTCAACTTGATTTAAAACCATACTGTTATATCAATTGGGTGAGCTTGAGTAGATTATATATTTTACTAGTATATTTAGTTATCAACACAGTGCTACAGCTTCAGATCGAGACATGGTAAGGGCTTGATTTTCTTTTAAAAGTAGACACCCAGCAGTCATTCCATATTCGTATAGAAGATTTTCCTAAGCAAGGGGACTCTTGTTAGATTTGCTGTATGGAATGACTTGAAGTAGGAATATCTTTCCGTGCCATTGTAATTTTCATAATTGGGACCATGTATGTTTTGTCTTGACAAATTTCAGTGCTACGCTGTGAGGACGATAATGGTATTTGTTTGGGTTCCCAAGGACAATCATTTCCACTCTGGGGGCAGCTATATATTTGTTAACTAACCTCACTAAATTGAGCAAGGTTCTGGTATTTTAACTACAGAGAACATTGAGAGCAGTTTAGCTTTTCCATGGAGGCATAAGAAGACTTTAGAAATAATGGTGTTACAGTCAGTTGTTTGGGAGTAAGTTTTCTGTTTTGCTTACTTAGGTATCCAATGAGCCTGGCAATCGCTACAACCTCCAGCTCATCAATGCACTGGTGCTCTATGTAGGGACTCAGGCCATTGCACACATCCATAACAAGGGCAGCACACCTTCAATGAGCACCATTACTCACTCAGCACACATGGACATCTTCCAGAACCTGGCTGTCGATTTAGACACTGAGGGTGAGTGAAGCTGACCAATCCGCACCATAAGGTTTTCTGTGCTTTTTTCCACAATCTGATCATAAAAAAAAAAAAAATGAAACAAAAGATTTTAAGACATAGTAAAAAATGTACTGTAAGGTCGGGCATTGGTTCAGGTGACTCAAGGGCCAGAGTTCAAACTCCAGTACTAACAACAACAAAAAGAAGAATGTACTGTCAGCATAACTATAGATCTGGCTGTTTTTGTTTGTTTGATAATCGATTATTCATCAGTCCAGTTGAAAAACTTGCTGTTACCTGTTTTTGTTTTTCTGGATTTTTTTTTTTTTTTTTTTTTTTGGCTGTATTCAGGTTTGAGCTCAGGGCCTAACACTTGCTAGGCAGGTGCTCTACCACTTGAGCCACTCCACCTATTTTATGTTGGGTTTTTTTAAATAGGGTCTTGTGAACTGTTTGCCTGGGCTGGCTTCAATCTGTGATCCTCTTGATCTCTGCTTCCCGAGTAGTTAGAACCGGCGTTCAGTTGGTTATTTTATCTTATATTGGATCTTATCTATTCAATGTACAGCAAAGCATAAAGGAAAGAATTGCCCTAAATCCTGCCGTACTGGTTAATATTTTGGTGTGTATGATTTCAGTGTTTTAGTGTGAAATTGAACATACTCCTTTTGGTAGTATGTTTCAACATAGGCTCCTATTACAATAGGTTGTGTTTCTGGAACATTTATTTGTGCCTGTTTGCCAGGCAGCATGTTGAGTGTGAAATATAAAGGGTAATGGCTATGACTTCTCTACATTTATTTGCAGGAAATAAACAGTATAACTCATTGCAGTAATAAGAGACAACTGGATACTAATGGCTCATGCCTGTAATCCTAGCTACTCATGAGGCAGAGATGAGGGGAATCATGGTTTGAAGTCAGCCAGGGCAAATAGTTCATGAGACCCTATCTTGAAAAAAACCTATCACAGAAAAGAGCTAGTGGAGTGGCTCAAGTTGTAAAACACCTTCTAGCAAGTGTGAGGCCCTGAGTTCAAACCCTAGTACCACCAAAAAATTAAAAAATAAGAGACCCTAGTTAGGTGCTAACTAGCTACACAGTCTTGACATTTTTGCATAGTTTCCTTTCAAAGAACTATTTTAAATTTGCTGTGGACTCTTAAGAGACTTAATTCATCTTGGATATATACTGCTTGCCTATTTTTAGAAGAGATTTGAGAGAGCTTAAAATCAGTATTTAACAAAATTGAATATTGTTATTTCCAGACCTCATCAAAAAGAGGATGATACTCTTTAAGGAAGTGTTAGGGTTACTGTGACAGTTTTATAATCATGAGTAATATTAAGCAGATCAAACTGCAGAGGCAGAAATGTGAATCCAACTCTTCTGTTATGACATTAAATTATCTGCAGAATGTAAAATAGTGACAGCATTAAATTTTTGGAGGAAAGTATTTTTCATTAACATGTTTGTCATAGGGTGAGGGTTTTTTTTTTTTTTTTTTTAAGTATTTAACAATCTTAATTTTCTAACATGGAAAATTTTTCAAATGAAACCCACAGAAAAGCTGGGCGCCAGTGGCTCATGCCTGTAATCCTAGCTACTCAGGATTCAGCGATCAGGATGATCATGGCTTGAAGCCAGCCTGGGCAAATAGTTCTGTGAGATCCTATCTTTAAAAACCCTTCACAAAAAATAGGACTGGTGGAGTGGCTCAAAGTGAAGGCCCTGAGCTCAAGCCCCAGTACCACAAAAAAAACCAAAAACAAAACAAAAAACCCACAGAAATAAAAATTTGGGGGGTTAAGAGAGCCAAAGATCCTCTATGCCTACCCTTATGCACACTTTCAACTTTCAAAAAGAGTTTTTTCTTTAACTGGAGTGGACCTTGTCAAAATAAATTTTTCTTCTTTTAAGGTTGGTGGTGTGGACCAAAGCAGCTGGCACATGAACACTATCCAGTAACCCTTACACAGTTTGGGGGAGTGGAGGAGTCTTAAGCTATTTCTTGTCAGAAACCCAAATCCTATATAGAACTGTTTGGCCTTTCACAGCTAGTCCTTGCTAAATATTAGTCTCTTTTAATTTCTAGGCCGGTATCTCTTCTTGAATGCAATTGCAAATCAGCTGAGGTACCCAAACAGCCACACTCACTACTTCAGCTGCACCATGCTGTACCTTTTTGCAGAGGCCAACACCGAAGCTATCCAGGAACAGATCACAAGGTGAGAGTTTCTTTAAATGCCTCAGAATGGTGCCCTCCTTTCCATCACTTTGAATTTGAGTTCTTTGCATTCAAGAGTTCTGGTATCTTTTATATTCCTAATACTGTGCTAAATGTGGGATAGAGTTGCGAACAGAGAGATTGTCCATGCCCCCCTAACATTTAGTCTGATGGAGAGAGAGCAACAAGTAGCAAATTAAAAAAAAAGGGCTCAGTGTATTATTAGTTGAAGGTTAGGTGTTTCTTGGTAGTTGGAGCAGGATTTGCAATGAGTCCTGAATCATGCAGGCTTATTAAAGACTTAAGGATCTTGAATTTTCTTTTACTACCTTTGACTTACAAGGTTTTAAGCAGGAGCAGTAACAGGGTCATGCTTTCATTTTCCCAACAATAGTAAGGAATCTTTCAGAATGTTTGGACTATATATAGGATTGGAAATTGAGAAATGGGTAGATTCCTGTGAGATACAAAAACTTGTAGAGCTTGTCCATTCATCTGAATAGTGTCTATGGTGCTGAATATGGTATTCCTTAAGTTTACTGCCAGAAATTAACTAATTTTATTGGATGTTTAGATGATACTATGCCATTTTGTAATTTCTTGACCTTAAATCTTTTTTCCTTTATTTCTTTAGTGCAAATTTAGAATTACAGGCGGCAGGTTGAAGGATATGAATATTGAAGCCACTACTTGGTGCCGTTCAGGAAAAATGTCACCAATTTACATATGCTAATAGTGTTAGAATTTGTTTCCTATTTCTTCCATTTTCATTTGGTGTTTATTCTTGATTACTTTTTGTGTACCATGTACTCTGCAGACTTTCTGCCTTCCATCTTATTCTGAATAGCTTTTAGATAGATACCATTACCTTTATTTTAGTACTTGGCCTTCTGAGGCTCAGAACTAGAATTCAAGTCCCCAGATATTCTAACCAGAATCCATCTTCTACATTAACCAAACTATGCAGATTAATTTACCTAAGGGTAAAATCTTTATAACTGCCTTAATAATAGTCAGGTAGACGAGTCAGCAGCAATGGCAGCATGGTCATGAATTTGTTTCTGTGTGCATTAACTAATTCATTCTCCCCCTCTCCAGGGTTCTCTTGGAACGGTTGATTGTAAATAGGCCACATCCTTGGGGTCTTCTTATTACCTTCATTGAACTGATAAAAAATCCAGCATTTAAGTTCTGGAACCATGAGTTTGTACACTGTGCCCCAGAAATTGAAAAGTGAGTTGAAATCTAATTATCTAGCAGTGAAACAGAAGAATGACAGACATTTAATATCTCTAACTTGGGTTTGTTTGTAATTGAGACCATGGTAGCTAAAGCAAATACAGCTACATTTTCCTTAAAATTAAATGTGTATTTGTCTCTACTCAGGTTATTCCAATCAGTTGCACAGTGCTGCATGGGACAGAAGCAGGCTCAGCAAGTAATGGAAGGAACAGGTGCCAGTTAGGTGAACTGCATCTCTCTTGTAAAGGCACCAGCCTTGGTCTCACCGCACCAAGTTCATAAACTGAGTGAAGAATCCTTTGAGGTCCTCCTGACTTTCCCAGCCCTTTGGTTCTCAGGTGTCTACCCAAAAATCTACTTGTTGGGGTCAGCCTCCTGTCTATGTGGGCACACGTTCCAAAGTTTAAATGCATTTTTTTTTTGACTTGGCCAAAATTTAGATGATGCTGTGAATATCATTTTGAACTTGTGTAAATATATGAAAGAGAAAACCTTTGTCTGAACTTGCTGGGTTTGTGCAAAAATGTGTCCAAGGCAAGTACATAAACTGGTACCTTGTAATAAAGAGGCAGCTGATGCCATGCTCTTGTCTGAGGGCATAGCTCCATGTCTTCTGACATTCCTGGTATCCCAAAGAACAGTAAAATATTAAATTCTTGTGATGTATTTTTTTCTTAATGTGGATAGGAGACCTTGAAAGCCACTAAGTTATTAAAGACATGGATGTGCTAAGGTATGATCTGCAGGGAATATGGGATGGGCTGACAGTTGAGGTTGGGGCGGGGTGGGAGGGCGTTGCTTGCCTTTGCTGGGAGCCATTGTAAAGCTGACTGTAGGGAAAGCATTTGTGCCAGCTTCTCGGTGCCTCACTTGAGGAAAAATCAAACTAGATCTAGAGGCTGCTGTCCCACCCCCCTCCCCGCCCCAATTCCTCTTCTGATACTTGAAAACTGGGAAAAAAATTGTTCTTATCACTCAAGCCATATAGTCCAGTTGAACAAAATGTCAAAAACCAAAACATCCTCTTTTTGTAAGGATTTTTAAAGTTTTGTGGTTTATTCTGAAGCTTTTCTACTTCCTGTGCCCTAGCTCAATGACTTCTTGGGTGTGTGCAGACTACAGCTAAACATTAAAATCATGTAGCAGCAGCCAGTACTGGTAAGGAGAAAAGTAGACAGCCCAGCCTTGCAGAGCTCAGCCATTAGGACACCACTTCTTGAATGATACAACTTTTATAAATACTAAGCTGGAGCTTTTTTGACCTTGAACTCCTGGTCCTCCTGCCTCAGGCTCTTGAGTGCTAGGATTATAGGTATGCGCCACCATGCCAAGTAAGAAAATTATTTTTGTATAGCTTTTTTCTGTTTCAACAGAAGAAAACTTGAAACTGGAAAATCTCTGGTCAAATTAAATTACGAAACATCCCACTTAAATTACTGTAACCCACATTAAAAGTTTCATGGCTGGGGGGTGGTGGGCAAAAAAGTTCAAAAAGTAAACAGCTGGAGTCTTAACATTAGTGTGGTGTCCTTGGGTATCTTGGGGTAGATTCCTTCAAGGGTGAGTCATACCATCTGCAGAGTGCTGGTCCCATAACTGGTCATAAGCAACCCACTCTGCTGCCCAGCACCAGTCCTGTCTGCCAACAGAATTGGGAGCTTCGAAAAAGGTTTAGTGACTTCCTCCACGCAGACCCAGATTTGAATCAGGTCTGCCTCCAAAACCCTTATTAAATGCTATTCATTCCATCTTGCAGCAGAATGAAACAGCTATAGAATGCAGTGTTAAGTAACAACTGGAAGCCTGCTGATCCCAGTCCTTAAAAATGTCACTTTCCTTAAAATAGCACACCACCTCTGCTACCTTCTGGTACGTTGTAACAAAGGCCAAAGATCCAAATTTTCCTCCTTTTCAAGCAGCAAGGAACAGCAGTTCATATTGAAGTTACTGATTTTCCTTCAAGCAAGAGGGGACCTTTTAGCTTGTCATTTCCAACAACCGATGTAAGATCATCTTCTGACCATAGCGAACCTGTAAGGCCTGCTGTTCCCTCCAGCTGAGTTTGGCATAGATCTTATTACTAAGCAAGTCTTGCTCTGCTTTTAGGTCTGTGGCATAGGTCTGCAGAGTCAACAGAACACTATCTTGAAGAAGCTGTCTCCATGATGCTTTAAGTTTGGGGATATTTGTGATAGTCAGGCTGTCCTCTCTGCTTTCATCCTCTCTCCATTCATCCCGGTCTTTATACTCTCTGAACTCCACAGCAGACATACACAGTACCTAGAAGCAACCATGGGTCCCTTCAATTACAAAGTATTTGAAAATGCATACTGGGTTAGTGGGGCTTGATCCCACCAAACCTCAGGAGCACTATTACCCACTTTTCCTCTCATCTCTAGCTTTTACTTCAGTGTAGACACTGAAGCTGTTTATCAGCATGGCATGGTTATCCTCAGTCCTTTACCCTGAGTGTTGTGGTCAGCTCCTCTTCAGTTAGCACTTCTTCACGCCCAACCACAAATGCTCCCTCTTCCCCCACCATCTCCAGCTTGCATAAGAAATCCCAGCGCTCATACAGCAGGAGCCTTTCAGCTGTACTTTTAGCTCCTGTAGATAAAGTGAAAATCTCAGCAAACACCATTTCCACAACTCAAATGCTGTTCAACAAAGCTACTATAGGCTGGGGTAGGCAGAGACACAGCTGTCAGTATTAATGAGACTCACTCTGCACTGCAGCTTCACGAACAGTCACCATCTGAATGTCTGCTGTGTCATCTGTGTTGTCAGGATATGGTTCGACAAAACCATACATATGGATCAGTTGCCAATTAGCCATTTGCCCATAAGTGTTGAAAATCTCCTGGCCTTTAGGAATGGGGCGAGTAGCCACCATCCGAAGATAATCCTGAGATAAAAGGGAGAAACAGAGTAGGCCTTTCCCTGGCCACTCCCATCAGAACTACTTTGTTCTTAGAAGCCTCCAGCAGGTGCGTTTGGCCTTTGACTGAGGCTGCATCTATCAGCAGTCCTACTTTTACTTCCAGATACTTTAGAATGAAAGGGGGTGAGACCAACTTTTAAAAAGGTCAGCTTCATGTATTACTAGATACACCTCTACTAGCTCACCTTCAGCACTTAGAAGTTGCAAGTTTGGCAGGCATGATGCCCATAATCTTTGCTACTTGGGAAGCAGAGTTCAGGAGGATGGAGTTTCAAAGCTAGCCTGGGGAAAGTTTCTGAGACCCTATTTTGAAAACACCTAATACAAAAAGGGCAAAGATGTGTTCAAATGTTTTTTAAAAGCATACCCAAAGTACATCTAGGGGTGAGTTCAAAACACAGTCGTCGTCCTACCCGCCCCCCCCCTCAAAAAAAAAAGTACATCTCAGGGGAGTTTTAGGATGAGGAAAATGGAGCCCAGTGACTGACACTGGTTGGACTCCAAAGGCTCCAAATGCACTCACCGCAGAATACTCTAGATTGGCATTGTGATTGGCTGAGTGGTTTAGTATGTCTGCAGCAGGCACCATCAAAGGCGAGTTTGGCTCCTTTTCGTCGTCCTCTTCCTCCAGTGGTTCTTGAAAGCTGTCACAGGGAGAACTTGGCTAAGGCCCAGTCCTGGGTAAGAGATTGGGGGTGGAGTTCACTGCCGTCCCCCCCATTTTGCCTCTCAGTAGGTTCTAAAGATAGGGTTCAGTTCTCCAAGTTCCTTCTCATTTACCTGTAGGCCATAACAAGGGCCACAAGCTGGTGATAGAGTTCCACGGAGCGAACTCCAGACCTGAAGAGATCTGGGTGGGCTTCCATGAAGGGTAGGACGATGGAAGAGTACTCGCTGCGGATGTTGGTCAAATCCTTCTCCACTGCCTCCAGGACACCTGTGCCCTGCAGCAGGCGCCGCCGCTCCTCCTCTGGCCTGCAGGGACAGCCCGCCCAGCTCCCTTCAACACACCCCGCCGCCTGGTGTGTGGGAGCCCTGTGCCCAGGACGGGGTGGCTGGAGCAGGCTGATGAGGGTGCTCCCCCACCCCCTCCACGGCTCTCACCAGAACATGGGATGCTCCAAGCGACCCAGCTCAGGCCAGAGCGCAAAGTATGGGTTCCAGGGTGAGTCTGGGGCCTGAAGCTCGTGGAGCAGCGCCAGCAGCAGCGGCACCCAGCCCGACTGGCTCTGCAGCGCGCCTCGCTCTGGGCAACAGGGAAGACACAGAGTGAGCAGGAGCGCCGGCGCGACTCCGTGAGCCCGCGCAGGTGCCCCGTCCGAGAAGTGCTCACCTCTTTCCAGTAGGCCTCCGATGGAACAGGTGTGCGGCGACAGGAGCGCGGCCCGCGGAACCGCGAACAGCAGCTCTCCAGGTTGCACGCTGTCCAAAGCCACCATGCCGTAGCCGGCCACCGTGCCCTGCCTAGTCACCACCACCTGAGCGAGGGAAGAGCAGGTCAGAGCAGTGCCAAGCCTCGCCGCGCCTCTTCCATCTCGTCCGCCCGCGCACACACCTTGGGATTCAGCTCCAGTCCCACTCGCTGGCACCAGCGCAGGAAGCCAGCCACAGGATCCGTGTCGGGCTCCCCGCCGCCCGTGGGCCCCACCACCTGGGAGGAGCGAGATAGTGACGCGGCCCCGCCCCTGGAGAGCCGCGGGGCCCGTCGGCGCGTGCGCGGGAGGAAGGGCTCGGGCGTGTTGGGTGGGGAACACGACCTCTGAGGACATGGGACCCGCGAGAGGAGCGTAGGGGCGAGCGAGCCACACTCGGGCCGAGGTAGGGTGAGGCGCGGGGCCTCCGCCCTCCACTCACCCGCCGCCGCTTGGCCTGAGTCGCCATGGTCCAAGTGCACGCCGCCGGTCAGTGGGTCCGCGCAGGCGCTTCCGGCGCCGCTGTGACGCGTCGGAACCACGTGGCCGGCGCCGGGCGGAGGACAAACGCTAACCCGCGTCAGGTGGTTCCTCCCTCCTGCGGGCGTCCTCTTGGGCGCTGTTGTTTTCAATTGGGCTTAGAAAGGGCGCAGCTGGAGTGTGAAGAGGGCGTGGTTCAGAGCCAGACACCGCCGGGAGGCTGTCTGTCCCCGGGATCGGTGACTTCCTGGGTAGAAATCTACTTGAGAGCAGTTTGCCTGCATGTTTCGTTTGGAAATAAGCATGTTCCCAGGCCTCTCCCGTACTACCCCCTCCCCTCCTACCCCTCTGACTGCATACAAGTTGGTGGTACTGGGGTTTGAACTCGGGGGCTTAAGCTTGCTAGGCTGTCGTTCTAGCTCTTGAACCAATCTGCCCTCTTATAATATTCCTGTTTTTCATATGCATAGAATATGGCGGGTTCTTGAGTTTTACTTTGTTGACACACAAAGGAACTCTATCCGGTAAGTAATGAGACACTGATTAAATTTAGAGCAGTAACATGCTGTCAATTTTAAGAAAAGAGGCAGCGAATAGAGATTACAGGAGTGGGTTTTAAAGGCAATCGATGCCAGACTTCACTGTTTGGTCTCTTACTGGGGCCAGGTCATCAGTTTCCTCAGCTGAGAGGAAATACTTCTACCCTGCAGAACTAATATTAAGGTTGGTAAAAATAAATGTGTATACGTATATACATGTTATATATATACATATATGTGTATGTATATGTATATGTGTATACACATATACATGCAAGCCCTGTAAGTAGAGATGGGCGAAACAGGCACTCTCACCCCCCTCCCCCCCGCAGCCCATGCGCTGTGGGCAGCCGAAGCATTCTGTCCATGGCATCACCACTCAAGCACTTCTTAGGTTCTTTATTAGTTTTTCAGCACAATTAGCTTTCTACATCGACAAGGGTTTTGTGTTGTTTTACATGTCACCTCAAAGTCTCATGACATCAGCTACCGGAATACACAAAATTAGGCTCTTCACTTTGTACAGAGAGGAAAATAATAAAGGACATTAAAAGTCCACCTTGATCAAAGTGACAGCCTCCAGTGGAAAACCACACACAAGAGGACCCAATATACATATGTATATAATGTATAGATATTTATAGATCTCACCTGAAAGAACACAGCAAAAAAAAAAATTCAGTACTCGCAGTGCTATCTACAATAAGAAGGATTAATTCTATCGGCTTTAAACGGTCACATTCAATATTCAAAGGAAGCACGTGAGCAGACAGAACTGGGGACAGACTACACTCCACCAGGCTCTAGAGCAGTCTAGTAATGGCTTAAGATTATAGGAGGGGGGTGGCCTGTGCTGAGGAAATATGGATGTAGGTGTCCTCTTGGCCTCAGGACACCGCCCCCCCACATACACACCCCCCCACCCCCTCCACAGCCCTTCAGTTTTTCTGTGCACTCTCCCATCTATGTTGGGGGTTTGTGACAATGGACTTAGCATTGGACAATGATCCGGGAGATTCTACCCGGTAAAGGTGGGTAGATGGGAAATAAATGGTACAGTCCTGAGCTGCAGGTGGCAGAAGGGGGACTGGGGTGTTTGGGGAGCCCTTCTCTAGGCCTTGTTCACTTAGGAACCTTCAGCTCCCACTCCAGGACCCAGCAAACCCCAGTCCTAACAGGAGGTGGTGACATCTAGCTGTCTTGGACTGGCTCGCTCCAGTAAACTTGCTCTCTTGCCGATGCCTACAGGATGTACTGCACAGACTGACCAGGGCTCTGCTAGAAACACCACATGGCTGCTGAGTGGGCTGTCCTCTGTGGAACCTGAGGCAACAAAGGAGTCTACAGGACTCAGCAACCTTCTAGCTCCCAAAGGCGGCACCAGGGATACCCATGTGAATAATCCCAGCCTTCTCTCTCTGCCCCCAGTCAGGTCACTAGAGAGACAGGACCAGGTAATTTCTGCCCCAGGGAGGCCTTGGCTCAGGATGGGACAGGGCAAGGTGGCGGCAGAGTATATGGGCTAGAAGGGACAGTGTTGGGGTTCCTGCCCTCAGGTTCTCCATGTTCTGTCTTCAGTCCCTGCCTGCCACCCAGAGAGCACCAGGAAAAAAAACCACTGCCAGGTCATGGTGCCCCCCACCTTGTGACTACTATCCAGATGATTGTCACCTTTACTCCAGATCAGAAACAGGTAGTACAAATCAGAAACAGGTGTGCTTGGTGGCAGCGCCTAAGGGAAAGAGGCCTTCAGAGGTCCAGGGCTCCCTGCTGCAATCTTCTGGTTTCCACATCAGTGTTTGAGCCCAGCACCCCACCATCTCAAAACCCCATCTTCTCTTCACGCCTGCCTTCCCGAGGGGTGGACCCATGCTCTTTCCTTAATTTAGAATGATCCTGGATCCTGGCCTTAACAAAGGACTCCACTCTTTCCTCAGTCAATCCCCAATTGCCTCAAGGCCCCACTCCCACTGTGCAGGGGTTGGGGCCATATCAGCCAAGAGAACACACTGAGGGATGTGGGGTGGGGAGGAGGAGCCCCTCAAACCATCTGAGACTGTTCAGAATCTAATTGGATCCCCTCATTGTTTAAACAAGAGAAATAACCTTATTTCCTCCCCTTTGCCCTCACAAAAATAAACTAAAGGGAAAATGTGCAGGGAGATGGCAGGGGTCCCTCAACAGGGGCGGGCGTCTTGGGTGGAACTGGTTGGTGCTTCAGCAGGACACCTCCATGGTGTGGTTGACCTGGCCTAGCCCCTCACTGCTTTCTGAGTGGGTGCAGGCCTGGGGGCGGCTGCCATCCACTGAGCTGGCACTGGTGAGGGATGCAGTGCGAGAGCGTGCCAGACGTGTCATGCTGGCCGAGGGCACTGTGGACAAAAACAGAACAGGTGTGAGGACACACAGGTAGGGCCTGGCATCAGCAAGCGGGAAAAGGAGAACACAAGCAAAGCGGCCAGCGAGACCCAGCCTTCCAATGACACAGAGGCCCATCCCAAGCCAGGGCACTGGCATCGGCTCCAGGCATGCAGGGCCAGGGACAATGAGTGTGCTAATGGGGATGCAGCCAGCAGGGCCTGGATCTCAACAACCAGAAAGAGTTGTGGACAGGATGGCGGGGTGGGGGGGGGTGCTGCCCAGACACCCCTGAGCAGGGACAGGGGTATGCTATCACACCAACTAGGCCTCCATCGACAGAGGATGATGGGGTGGAGGCAGTATTTGTCTCTAAAGGAGGACACAGTGTCATGGCTGCAGGCTGCCCTGGCATTCTGTTTCTACCCTTACTCAGAGTTTTGCAGGTGAGACCTGTGGGAGCAACACTACCCTCCCTTTACTCGTCTCCCCCTGCTGGGCTTGGCTAGGGCCAGGTGCAGTACCCACAAAGTAGCCTGGCTGTAGGTCTCTTCTGGCTCTAACTCCCAGACCTCTGGAAGCCCCACAGCCCCTGGCAACCTAGAAGCAAGGCTGCTCTAAGACCAGCCAATCTTGAGCCCCCATATGGGACAGAGCCCACGGTGGCCCAGAATCTGCAGAAAAACAGGAATCCTCTGGGGTTTTGAGCTGAGCAGGACACAAGAAAATTCCAAACCACAGCAAGATGGGGCCTGGCTGCAGCACTGCACAGAGAAGGCAGCAGGGAGAGGCTGGGAGGGGTGTCCATGCATCAGGAGAAGGGCCACAGGGCTACCTGCTCCTCCACTCAGCCTTCGGTCCTTCAAGTACGCAACTAAGAGAGAAGATAGAGCCAGAAGGGGGGTGGGGGACAGGGGAGACACACAACACGGTGAAGATCAGGGCTGGGCCCAGGTCAGGGCATGGAGATGGGCCAAGGAAATGAGAAAGGTGGATAAACGCAGAGAGGACTAGGGCAAGGTGGAGCCTCAGAAAGTCCACTCGTGCCCATCTCCGTCCACCTGCCCAAGCAACAGCCCCTACAGGATCCACAGCAGGAGGGGGCTCTCACCTCCCGCCCCACCCCTTCTTCAGCTCAAATCCCACATCCCAGTCTCAGTACCCTCACCATTCTGCAGGCTACACATACAGAATGGGGGAGGCCTGCAAAATCCGAAGTCCCTCCCAACACATGGGGTGCCTGGTGGACTCCCAGCTATGTCTCTCTGTGTTTTGGCCTCTGCCCTGTTTCTCCCCCAAAGAGACTGGCAGGCCCAGGGGTCAGAGGAATTCCATTCCCGGCAGCTCCAGCCTGCCCCAGCAGCCCAGCTCTGGAGGTATAGCTGCAGAGTTGAAGGGGGGCAGGAGGGGAGGAGAAGAAATTCAGACACAGGAAGTTTGCTTCCTGGCAGGAAAGGAGCCAGAGGAGTAGCTGTGTGATGGAGGAAGAGGATGTGGGTCCAGGAGGTACACAGGAACCACCAGAGTTGGGTGTGTTGGGGGTGCTCATGGGCTCAGTTTGGGGAGGGACAGAACGTGGTGGGAAGGAGTTTGTTCTACCTCAGAGTTCCTGAGTCTTCTGGTTTGCTTCCCCCACCCCAATTCAGCTGCCTTTGGCTCTCCTAACACCCAAATGGTCCCACTTGCCTTTCCTGGTTCCCAGATTCCAAGCCCATTCCTGTGATGCCCTTGGATCCCACCCTCCACCTGTGACAAAGATCTTCTCAAGTGCCTTAGGCCCGGTGGGGGTGGGTGACTCACCACAAGCAGGCTTCCCTGGAAGGACCCAATCCAGGTCCTGAGCCCCCAGTCAGGCCCAGCACAGGCACAGGAGGGCTGGGCCCCCCATCTTACAGTGCAGGTGGAATCTGGGGAGACCAGCCCAGCATCTGGGCCCAGGTGACCCAGAGCTTACCATGTGTCCCCGCCCCGACTCAGGTGGGTGGAGGTGTACTTACTGTAGCCCATGCCTTGCAGGAAGTATTTGAAGGCCTCAGTCAGCTTTCCTGGCTGCAGGAGGGTGGGAGAGGCACAGGCTTTGATTGACTGCCTAGCATTCATGGGGGTAGGGAAATGGGAGTGGGGGGGCTCTATCACTCCCCATCTCCCAACCACCCATCCCACTGGACTGAGACAGGAGGACCAATAGTCTCACCTGTGTGACTTGGGGGAGCCCCCCAGAATCTGCCATCTGCAAGGGAGAAAGTGGGCCGTGATGAGCAGCACCTCCCACCTGGGCAGGCTCTGCTGATCAGACACTGCCCAGGTCCCAAGACCCAGGCAGGCCTTTCCCTACCACTGAGTCCATGGTGGGGGTGGGGCTGGCCCAGAGTGGGAGGAAGGTCTCACCTTCAGGAAGGTTGTGGTGGTTGGGTCCAATTTGGAGTTGCACTCGACCTGGGGACAAGGAGCTAGCTTTAGCAACAGCCCTGCTCCACCCACCCCCAGCAGGGGCAATTCTATGTGGAAGTGTCTGTGTCCTCAATGGAGAGGAGAGGACAGGGAGGCCCAGGGCTTGGCCTTCTCCTTCCAGGGTCCCTGCATTCCCTGGTAGCCCCCACCAGGGGCCTGAGACCCCCCCACACACTCACAACTGCTGGTGGGGCAGAAATTGGGTAGGGGCCTGCTTGGATGGCCAGGGCCACTCTGCCAGGATGGGGCCACAGGAGCTGGGGGAATGAGATGAGGAGGTGCTGAGGGTCAGTAGGGGGCTCTGGCCCTGCCTGGGTCAAGATGGCTGGTGAAAGTTCATACCTTGTTCTGGCAGTCCTGATGGGCACTGGAAAGTCTGGTATTTTCCAGGCACACGGGGACTGCTCTGGGCACTCCTGGGCCCTGAGCTGGAGCCTCCAGCACTGCTCTGTGCTGATGGGCACCCAGCTCCAGACTGCCTGTTGCCAGAATTCTAATAGAAGTAACACACAGCCCCAAACATCACTGATGCCTGGGCAGCCCGGGGGAATGGTGCCATTGTGTGTGAATCACCTGTTTCATAACAGGTCAAATTTTAGAGGAAAGAGAAATCTTCAGCTTAGAGACTGAGGAGGGGGCTGCACTATGGAGAAGGGAAGTATCAGACTCCTTCACCTGCAGGATAGCAGTGACAAAGCTGATGCTGATGTGTGGCAGGTGGCAGGGAAGTGAGGGGAAGGCCACCATCCAGCTTGTCTCCTGGGGGCATCCAGAGTGGGTCCTGATGGCTAGGTTCCAAAGAGCTTCTGCCTCTGACCTCCTATCCCCAGTCAGGACAGCCTCACACTCACCACCCCATCCTCAGCAGGTGCATTATCACCAACCACCAACATCACGGGGCAGCTGCAGACACAGAGGAAATAGAGTTGTCTAGCTTGCTTTGGGGGCAAAGGCAGTGGCTAGAAGGAGGGCCAGCGGCCACTCACCGGAGAGTCTTGGCATTGGGCACTGTTCCAGGCCGGTTAATGTCCAGGTCTCTTCGGCTACAGGGGAAGGGCAGAGGCAAAAAGATAGGCATCCCAGGACTGGACTGGGGGAAGGGGACACAAGCCCAACACTACCAACTGGTAATCAGGTGGACTACAGGGCTCTCCTCATGTGCTACTCTCCACACCCCAACTCATGCCAGGTCCTCGGAGCTCATGCACTGCCATTTCCGAAGTGGAGGCGGTCGCTGCCCCGGCTCCTGGACCACGTGGGAGGCGGGGCTGGAGCGCTCTAATTCTCCCATGATTTTAAGCACATGCACACAGCAAGTGCTTACTAAATATTTCCACCTGGGCCTCCCTAAGTTTCTATTGTTTTTCCAATAGGTGCTTAATAAAATATTTGCAAATAAAAGCGAAGGGAGGATTAACACCTCCTCAGGAAGCCCTCCAAAGAGCACAGCTGGAGACTCACACCTCCTCTCATTTTAGAGGTCAGCACCTAGGCTTCACGAGTCCCTTATATGCTCCAGTGCTCCCAGCCAGCAAAGGAGAAGTGGAGGAACCAAAACAGGGTCCCAGGCCCTCCTCAGCCTCTGCCCCCCAGGAAGCCAGCAACCCTGGGCAGGAAGCCCCCCCCCATCCACCCAGCTCCATCCCGCGGGCGGCTGCACGGAAGGTCCCGCTGCGAGTGCCGCCCACACCTGTTGTACATATTCCAGAAGAGCTGCAGGTTGGCCTGGTTCACCACGTTGGCGATCTGCTGCCTGTAGCTCTGCACCAGCTCAGTATTGTTCACCAGCTCCTCCTGGGCCGGAGATGGGAGGAAGGGAGGGGACCGGCTCAGAGCAGCCGGTGGGAGTCACCTCCTGGGCCACCCTGGCCGCGCCCGGCCCCGCTGGGATAGAGGGGCGGGGCGGCTTCCCGCCTCCATTCGTCTTTTCGGAGGCTGAGGCATCAAGGCGGGGATCAGGAAGCACCCCCCCGCCCTGCTCCCCTCCAGCGGCGGACTGCCCCACCTTACCTGGCTGAAGAGGTGGGAGAGCACAGTGTCGGGTAAAGTGCTGGTCAGGCCCGAGAGCTGCAGGAGGATGCCATCGTGAGCGCCGCGCCTCAGTCACCACCCAGCCCGGGACACTCCTCTCACCTTGGTGGCAGCCCAGTCGATCCAGCCTTTGCCGTTGGGGTCGATGTTCATCAGCACCAGTCCCTCCACCAGGTCCGGGAAGATAAGCTGCGGAGAGAGGGGAGAAGGGGGGATGGGGTACAGGGATCCCCCTTTCTTCCCATCTAGAAAAGGGGTTGTCCAATTCTGGCACTGTCCCAGAGGTGATCGGGAAGGTCACAGGAAGTGCAAAGGCTTTGTCAAGGCTTTAAGGTGCCATTGATGGGGCAAATGGCCGCAGCTACCCTGCGATCCTCCTTCCTACCCAGACCCCTAAAAATCCTATAATTTACTGAGCGGATGTGGTGGTGCATGCCTGTAAATCCCTGGACTGCGTAGTGAGACTCTCTCCAAAAGAAACAAAAACAAAAACACCAGAAACTTTGATTTACTTAGAACCTGCAACCATATCAGTTTTCTACCCCCCTAAAAGGATATATAAACTACAGTGCTGTGGATAGAACTCAGGGCCTCGCTCATGCTACCCCACATGGATGCTTTCCCACCTCTCCCACTGAGCCACACCCCCAACCCTCTTTAAAGTATGTTTGAAGGTATTGTTGCAAAACTGAGTATTAAACATGATTAAAACCTCAAACACGTCATATCATTGCAGTTCTAGAAAATGAAGCCTTTAGCTAGGCATGGTGGCCCATGTCTGTAATTCCACCTACTGGGAAGGTGGAGAAAGGAGAACCCAGAATTCAAAGCCAGCAGGGCAATGTTTGTAAGGCCCTATCTGACAAACAAAATGTCTGGGGGTCTGGCTCAAAATGTACCCAAGGCTCTGGATTCAATCCCCAGTACAGGAGGATGGAGCAAAGTATTAAGCCTTCCTGATGTCACATCAAGAAATTGACCTGTTTTCTGTTAGACAGTGAGCAAAAAATCTGCAGCTTCTGTTCAATGGCAGTGCTAAAGCCCAGTCCATTCCCCTGCCTGGGGTGGGGTGGTTTATAGTTAACACAACACGTAAGTGCTGGAATTAAAACTGAAGGCAACAACTCCTGGTTATTTGTATTTGAAGAAAACAATTGAAAATTAAGCTTCTGATTTTTAAAGATGACACGCTTTCTTGCCCAGCATGTTTTTGCAGAGTGCTTGCTTTAAACCTCATCTTCGTATGAATGTAATTTTTGACGGGGAGAGGGGATAAAGAAGAGTGATGGAGGGGTGAATCCAACTAAGATATATTGTAAGCACTTTTATAAATATCACAATACCACCAAAATATGTAAGTGTAATTTGTCTGGGTAATACTGCAGTTGGAACTCGGGGCCTTATGCTTGCTAGGCAGGCACTCTGCCAGCCCTGCTTTCTGTTATTTTTATTTTTTGCAGTACTGGGGTTTGAATTCAGGGTCTCACACTTTTTAAGCAAGTACTTTACCACTTGAGCCACTCCACCAGCCCTTTTTTTGGGAGGGTATTTTTCGAGATAGGGTCTTATAAACTATTTGCCCGGGTTGGCTTTGAACTGTAATCCTCCTGCTGTCTGCCTTCTGAGTAGCTAGGATTACAGGTGAGAGCCACAGGTGCCCAGCCTGTAAGTGTAATTTTTTATTAAAAGATTACTTGTGTTCAAATGTTTCCTGCAGCCGGGCGCTGGTGGCTCACGCCTGTAATCCTAGCTACTCAGGAGATAGAGATCAGGAGGATCAAAGTTGGAAGCCAGACTGGGCAAATAGTTCCACAAGACCCTATCTCGAAAGACCCTTCACAAAAATAGGGCTGGTGGAGTGGCTCCAGGTGAAGACCTTGAGTTCAAGCCCCAGTACGCAAAAAAAAAAAAGATTGTTACCTGAATTAGTGAAGTATAATCCTTACCTGGTGGGCAGGGCAGTCAGTTGCATGGTTTGTAGCTAGGAGGAATTTTGGATTTGGGTAACTATTAAGCAACTTGTATTTAACAGTTTTTGAGGAAACATATGGGAAAATCAAGCTTTTTTTCTTTTTTTAAAAGTTAGTTTCCTTGGAGGGAAAAAGGTTTTTCTAAGCAAAGAGGAAGTGAGGGGAGGAGAGGAGGCAAAAGGAGCAGGGAAAGTCCCTTGCTCTAGAATGATCAAGCTCTGGGGTGGAGTTGGGGTTCTGGTTGGGGGCAGGAAGACTCACTGCAAACTTGGCCAGTACATAGGCTCCGGCTCCCACTCCAATGCCAATCACGTACTTGAACCTGGTGCAGAGCAGGCTGGTCATTCTAGGGCTGGAGGTGCCATTTCCCATGAAACCAACCAAGGCAGGCCCCGCCCACAGCCCCCAGCTGGATCTGTAGCGTGGTGGGCACTCCTGGCTCCCAGTTCCAGGGAGAGGCAGGGGACTCACCCAAAATGCTGCACCACACTGGGAAGCATGGCTGCCAGCTGCTCCATGGAGGGGAACTGGTATCTGTAGGCAGAGCAGAGGTCAGGATCTGGGGGCAACTGGGGTGCAGGCCTGAGGGCATGGAAGGGCTCCAAGGTACCTACCCCTGAGGGAACTGCGACGCCCCCACCTGCTGTCCGGGAGCGTCCACGTGGCACACCACAAAGTGCTTGGTTATCTCCTGCATGTCCTCGAAGTTGAAGAAGGTGTTGAAGCACAGCTTGTCTGCAAAGATACACCTCTCAGGGAGCTGAGCACAGGGCAGGGGGCAGAGGGAGGCTAGTGGGCCCTGTGGGCAGGTGAAGCAGGCATCATGGGCCTTAGGACCCAGCAATAAAATATAGGCCAGTGGGTTGAGCCACGAGCTAAGTGTGAGCTGGGAAATGCAGGGCCCTGTGGGGAGTGGGGGGGGCCCAGGGCAGGGCAGAACAAAGCTGGGCTGCACTTACGGTTGAGGCCCACATCATGGTAGGTGATGATGGCTGGGCGGTTCCCCTTGGGGGAGCCCCGGATCACCACATGCAGAAGACCGTAAGGTGTCTCAATGTCATGCTCCTGGAGGGGACAGACAGCTGTCCATTTTCAGTAGCCCCCACTCATGGTTCTTCTAGGGACTGAGGCAGCCAGGCAACCTGAAGGCTGGTGGTGCCCCTCTCTTCCTCCCTGCCCCCCACCAGGGTGACCTGTTCTCATCACCCAGGAGGCTCCCAGAGAGGTCCCCTTTTCTCAGGGGCATTCGACATGAAAAGTTCTGGTATCTTCTGCAAGTCCACCCATGGGCTGGACTGCCACTGAATGCAAACTCAGCCCTCCAGGTCCAGGGAGGCCCCTCCAGAAGTGCTCTGCCACCCCAAGCAGGGTCCCTCACCAACTTAGACCAGTCAAGGGCTCCCTGCTTCTCAAGAGGAAGCCTCAGCAGCCCTTCCTTCAAGAATCTGCAGCAAACACCTCCATGCCAGCTCCACCCCGCCCCACCCCTACACCTGTCCCTGGTTCCCACCCCAGGCTTTAGCTCATGCCCTTCCTTCCACCTCCAATGTCCTTCTCTGTGCACCAAGCATTCTGCAATGCCCGCTCCAGGTCCTCCTGAATTCATATCCTTCGCTTTCCTGTTCAGGTCCTTAGGCCTTCAGGAAGACAAGCTCTGTCCCTTACTGTGACTCTAAGCAGGACATGTCACTTCCCTATGTCTCAGATACTTCCCTCAAGCCATCTCATAGGGATTTGGTGACAGCTTACAGTAGTAGCATGTGGAGGGGCCCTGAAAGGGGGCTGTTGTGCTTGGGCCCCCATGAGCCTCTGAACCTTGGGGGGAGACACCCTGCTGACTGGTTGCTTTGCAGAACCTTTGCAGAGTGATTTTCTTGGGTGCTCAATCAGGAAACTTCCGAGAAGGTCTGTCAGAGCTGAGTCAGCCGCCTTGCCTGTATAGTGAGGATCTGTGTTGCTGCAGAGGGTGACTCAGATAGTTGCAGGTTGGGCAGGGGTCAAGGATGGGAAGGAAACACCAAGTGACTGAGTACCACCATGTGCCTGGCTTCCTGTATGTTGCCCAAGGGAGAAGGAAATACTTCGTTTTAGAAGCAGAAACTTGGGTGGCAGGAGTGACTTCTCAGAGATTACTTTCCTAGGTCTGGTCCCAGAGGACCACTTTCAAGGGCTGGGTCTCTAGCAGGGAGAGACAAGGTGGTAACAATCCATGTTCAAAAGCCACACTTTGGGAGTCAAATTCTGCTGGGAGACCTGTGTCTCTTCCCATGGTCCTCTAGGTGGGCCTGGGCCTATCACAGCAGGCCAAGGAATGCTTCCTGCTCCATGGTCACTGGCTGGACACTTTTCGAATGTCATCTCATTTACTTATCATGTGGGCACAAGCCAAAGAGGAGGAAATTGAGGCCCAGAAAGAATACACTTACTCTTTCTTGGCCAAGATTTGAGTCCAGCGAGGGTGAGGGAGGGAACTGGGGCAGCCTCAAGGGCCTAGGCCTGGCAGTAGGGGTTAGGTTTTCTGAGGGGATGATTAAGTTCCACTCAAGGGACTTCCTGAGTCGCCAGCCCCTCCACAGCTGCTTGTCCCTGCTGCAGTCCCCACCAGTCACAGGATTGTCCTCCCAGCTCTGGAGAGAGGGACTAGAGAAGATGCCACAGTACAAATGCTGCAGTGGGCTTCAAATAGGCAGGTCTCAGAGACAGGGCAGCTCTTACCCTGCAGGCATACATCAGAGACACAGGGCTCCCTCCAGACTCAGACCTCTGCCCTTCAAGGGTGTGTGGGGGGGGGCTGAGGAGCCCTGTCTGCCCCTCCCAGCCCTGGTGTGGCTTTTCAGGTCCCCACCCTCAGGCAGCTGCCACAGTCACAGAGCAGTCCCTACTAGGGCTCATCGCCAGCTCTGGGAAGGGCTGGGTCTGGGTGGGGGTGGGGGACCTAATGACCTTGGCGGAATCCTTCCCATGACTTCCCTGCACCTCCTCCCACCAGACCCACGACCCTGACTGTGGAGCTCTGACCCAGCTTGGCCTGATAGAGCTAAGCATCCCTTTTCCTATGGCTCTGCCCAAGCGGTGGAGAATCTCTGAGCCCCCCAACTCCCAACGTTCCCATTGGCTCCTGATGACGTCAGAACCCAGCCCCCGCCTCCAGGTGGGCGCTGGCGGTATGCATTGCGGCAGGCAGGGAAGGAGGGGGCTCTGACGTCTCTCAGCCTGTTTCTCTTCCCTTGCTAGTGACCTTGAGGACTGGGCGGGGGGGGGGCGGTTCTAGAGCAGGGCTTTGATGCATGGAGATGGGTGGTTGTGGTGTAATTCATCGGGTGCATTAGTAATTTAGGGGACAGGGTCTGCATGGGCGGCAGGTGCTGACATCTCAGGGACCAGGCGAAGGAGGGAGTGGGGGGAGCAGGCTGGTGCAGATCTGCCCTTGTCTCTCCCTCCTTGAGGAAGCTCACACAGGGCTTGGATAGGAGGAGGCACCTTGGGAGCCCCGTGCTCTCCCACCTCATGGCTCCAGTGTTGCCTCCCCAGCTTATAAAATAAGGCCAAGTGGCCCTCCTTATCCCCTCCCCTACAGAGACTACTGCCTGAAGGCCTAGACTTCCATCCCTGTGCTGCACCGCGGTGCCCTGGGGATGCAAAGGCCACTCCTAAGGAAGACAGACACTGCCTGTCCTTCAGATGGCTCTCTGCTGCAATCATTCAAACACCAGAGACAATCCCCCACGGGGACAGGTCCACAGACCCTGGCAGGCGCAGCCCCAGACACAAGCTGGGAACTACATACACAAGTGGCTCACAGAGGACCAGCCCCCTCATCCACCAGGTTAAAGTATCCTAAGCGCCTAAGCAGACACCAGCAGGGACATGCCAAGCCCAGGACAGCAGGGCCTGGGGCGTGCACACATTGGCACCGAGCCCATCCAGGCAACTAGAGGGGCCACAGTGCACACATTCCGAATCTGAAGACTTTGCCCCTCCCCTCTGTCTTTCCCCCAAGGCCTGACTAGCAGCCACCCCAATTACCCCTGAAGACCAGGGTCAACAAAAGATGAGAGAAGGCAAAGTTGCCACCAGACCTGGACAGAGGGACGCTCTGTCCCTCCTGCAGGTCACAAGGATGTCCTTCCTCCCCGCCCACCTTGCTGCTCCCAGGACCCTCACTCACCCCATCCCAGCACTCCGGCATCTTGCGGAGGGAGGGAATTCGCTCGACCAGGAAGGGCAAACAAAGGCCTGAGTCACTCAAGTCCAGAGGGAGGGGGCAGCTCAGGTGGGAGGCCAGCAGCTCTATGATGGGGCAGGCTCGGCTCCCAGGCCATTTATACGCAGATCCAGGCCCGCCCAGGCCCGCCCAAGCCCGCCCCTCCTCCCCTCAGGGTTTCAGAGCAGCCACTTGCTCGCTGGAGCCCCTGCTCCCAGATTGGCTGCTGGGAGACAAACCTGGTTCTGATTGGCTCCCAAGGTCCTCACTCACTTCAGTCTCCCTCCTGCTCCTCCAGCCCCAGCACACAGCATCCTGATGGTCCCAACATCAGGGATGCTCACCCCCAGCAAGGGGTAGTGCACCAGCTCCCAGCACCCAGGAGCCGGGGCCCCTGCACTACAGGGTAGTGCAGGACTCTCAAGTCCACCTCAGACCAGCAGAACCCTTGACCTATGCCCAGGAGCTCCAGCATCCGGGGAACCATACCCCCAGGCCAGCTCCTCAGCAGGAAGGCCTGGGGTAACAACCCTTAAGCGGGGTGGGGGAGAGACTGTTGCTTTTTGGAGCAACTCCAGGAATCACCTACTTAGCTGTTTGCTCCTCCTTCATCCACTGGGCTCTCTCCCCTTGGGCAATTCCCATTCTGTTCACATGGATGGTCAGGGCTTGCCCACACAGCCAAAAGTGGGGTTCTGGGGTGGGGTGGAGGGGAGGATGACCTGAGCAGACTACAGGAGCAGGGGTGGGACGTACACCTGCTCTGCCATCCCCACCCCAGCTCTGCAAGGGGCTGCAGGCCACCAGGAGAGGATGAGGAGAGGATGAAGGACAGGAGACAGACTATTCAAGTTGACATGCCTGTCTTCTGCACACTTGCCAGGTCTCTCTCCTGGGGCCAACTAGTGTGGAGCTCAGTTCCCAGGTCTCACAAGCCACCTCAGGCTCCATGGCCCATCTTCCTGGGTAGGTAGCATCTGAGTGGCAAGCTGGCTCAAGACACACAGGAGGAATAAGTAGAGGAGAAGGGGGCCAAGCAGAATGGAGAAGGAGAGGAAATAGGCCAGGGAGGGGACAGAGGAGGGAGCACTAGAGTTGACAGCAGAAGTGACAGGGAGCAGGGTGGGGGCTGGGTGCCTGTGCCCCCATTCTGTCTCCTTGGTGGAGGAACATACTGCTCTCTTGTCCCAGCCTGTGCTGACAGCCCTGCACTCTCGCAACCACCCCCAGGAAAGGTGCCTGGTGACCTGGTCCACACCTGTCACAGGCATTTTTCCTGCTTCCCGGGGTACTAACAGCAGCCCCTGCCCCACCTGAGACCTAAATCAGAGCACTTGCCCTTTGTTCCCCAAGAGAGTTGGGTGGGGGGTGGAGGGTGGAGCAGTGTCCCCCTGCCTCTCCTATCCTGCAGACCAGGACACAGAAAGAAGCCTGGATAGCCAAGGTAGCTGCAGAGCCCAGCCTCTGTCCTCACAAGTCCTCCCACCTGCTTCTCCAAGAAGGGAGGTCCTGCCACCAACTCCTGCTCCCCGTGGTCCCCACCCAATTCTTGAGTGGCTTCTCCCCTCCCTGAGACCCAGGGGAGAAGCTTACTTGACACTGCCCCCTCCATGCCACAGTCCTGACCATCTCTGCTCAGATCAGCTCTGATACAAATCCATCTCCAGCTGAGGTTTTTAATCTCTCAGTGCCTCAAGGTCCCCAGGCTTCCCCACAGATGATCCTTATGTGCTTAGGAGAGGAAAACAGCTGAAGACACAGAGAGGTTAGGTAATTTTCCTGGATCACATCAGCATTCTGGGACTGAGATTGCATCGTTAAAAGGAGCAAACATGATGCTCAAATAACAGAAATTCACAGTGTCACTCAGGACGCTACAAGTTCAGAGTCAAGGTGCCAGCAGAGTTGGAGCTTTCAGAGGACTTTGAGGGAAGGATCTGTTCCAGGCCTCTCCCCTAGCTTCTGGTAGCCTCAAATATTCCTTGGCTTGTGGAAGACCATGTCCCTTGTGTTCACATAGTCTCTGTGTTTAAATTTGCCCCTTTTCATTAAAGTACCCATTGTACTGAATTAAAAATAAATAAATAAATAAATAAAGGGCAAACACTTCTGTTAGCATATGTCCCATGTGCCAGCACTTTACTCATTTTATCTTCTTTTTGCTTTATTTTGCTTTTTAATTTTGAGGTAGGGTCTCACTGTATAGCCCAGGCTGTCTTCAAACTCACAATCCTCTTGCCTCAGCCTTTCAAGTGCTGGGATAACAGATGTACACCACCACCATCAACTCATTTTATCCTCTAGTCATTTTTCAGATGAGGCACAGAGAAGTTTGGTAACCTCCCAACATCACACAGTAGACAGCACAGAGCCAGGAACCACCTAAGTAGCATGCTCTGCCCCCGTGCTCTGATGGTTACTTGTCACAGTCATTCAAGGGTCTGAGTATCGGGCCTGCTGCAGACAGCATCACCTCACAGACTCAAGAGTGACTGAGTGGGGTGACGCCTGCTGAAGGTCACGTGGCCCATAAATGGCAGGATCTGGACCCCATCTGTTGGGTGTTTGCTGGTCTCTCTGCCTTATTATCTCCCCTCTAGCTAAGCCCCATGGAATCCAGAGACTGACCCACCAGCCACTGTGAAGCAGGGGGAAAAAGTCTCTGCCCTGTCTTGGCCCAGATAATAGCTACCTTTGTAGCTGCTCTTTAAAAAAAAAGCATCCACGTAGTATAGCTAGGGTAGGTGGAAGGTGCCTCTTGCCACAGGCTGCCCCTCTCCAAGAAAAGGGTCATTAGAACCAGGGTCCTGCTCACCATGGGCAGCTGCCTTGGGCATGGGTCACTGGCTGTTCAGAAGGCCCAGCTAATGGGGACTTTGCAGAATCAGTCAGTGTCTATGAAGGGGGAAGCTCCCCTGTGACCCCCAGAGTTCCCCTTTCTCCTCTCTGAGGAAGGCATGTGTCTGGCTGTCAGCACTCCTGCCTAGGCCTTCCACAGTGTGGGACCAGAGTGGCAGGGCAGGGCCAGCTACTCCAGGATTTTTTTTTAACCAGCCCCTCCTCCAGGACTATTTGCTCACACTCATCTCACTCGCAGAGGGCAGAGTATCCCTGGCATAGTCTATTCTGATTTCCCGCCATCCCCTGGCCACATCCCTCTCAAGCCTCCTCCTGGGCTCCAGTTAGCCTCCCACTGCCCAATTTCATCCAGTCCTCTCAGCTTGGAGACCTTTGTGTTTGGAGACAGCATTCCCAGGGGATCTGGGCACGTGTACATGGTCTACCCTGAAGCTTTGCCATGTGTCCTTGAAAGGCGGGTGATCAAGGGACCAAGGCACAGGCCTGATCTTTATGCCTGCAGGAGGCTGCTTGCCACGGGAGGAGCCAGCCAGCAGGCAGCCCCACCTCCCACACAAGCACCGTCACCACTGCATCCAGACACCACTACGTCCAGACCACGAGGCTTCTCCTGTCATGGGGCTTGGAGACTGACCCAGATGGAAGTCAGGTGGAGACAAAGGCAGTGGCCTGGAGGTTACTTCGATCTGGTTAGGAGAAAGGTTCTGAATTTGTTCATCACGTTTGGATGACCAATGGAGTCTGAGAACCCAGCAAGGCTACCCTGGTATTTGCTGCTGTAAGACATTTTCTGACATCTGGAAATAAATAGCCACTGAAGCACTCAGGGGGGAGAAATGGCTGGCCAAGTGAGCAAAGCATCATGTGGAGGAATAAAAACAAAGAGCAAGTTCAGTGTTCATAGAGAATCTGGCATCAAATTAACCAGGACATGGTTGTCCAGGCAACCGCTGCTATGGAAACAGGAGCTATTTCAGCGTCAACCTGGCTTTCATGAGAGGCAAATGCTGATTCAGATGACAGTATTCCTCACTCCCTTCTCCATTCTCACTGTCCCCAGGCCTCCCCTTCCTTTCCAGATGTCTGGACAACAGAAGGCCCTGCTGCCTTCCACCTGGGTCTCCACAGGCAGGGGCAGGCAAAGCTGTTGTGAGCAGCAGGGCTGGTCCTGAGGCTGAGGTGCCCAGCCATGGCCATTCCAGGTGGGGGACACAGAAGGGATGTGACCCTCCTATGGGACATGGCCAGGTGGGCAAATGGGTTCAGCCAGCTGTAGGTCCCACAGCTCGGGAGTACGAGCTTTGACCTACCTTCCAGTCTGTGTCCACAGCTGAGAGGAAGGTGTCAGGGTTCTCCTGAGAGAGGGCAAACAGAGGACAGCAAATTAGCCCTGGCTGGTCTGGGGGTCCCACAGGCTGGCTTTCTGACCCCCAGTCTATGTTAACAAAAGTAGCCAACAACTTATCAAGTGCCACATGTCAGGAACCCATGAGTTTATCAACTTAAAGTGCAAAGATTTCCATTTTGCCGGTGGGAAGGGTGAGGCTCAGAGGCTTGGGTCCTCAGGTCAGAAAGTGAGGACCCTCTGACTCCAGGTCTTGGCTACTGATTACTTTGTCCTCTTGCCCCCAAAGGCATTTCTTATGATCTGACATCAGGACCCAGGGCAGAGGCAGGGGAGAGGGACATGGGGGACATGGCTGTCACATCCAGGACAGGGAGGGCATACTGAGGCCCACCAATCAGGAGCCATTAGGGCAATTTTTCCTGGGGGCATCCATCAAGGATAAGGTTTTGTTTTGGTTTTTGTTTTGCGGTGCTGGGGTTTGAACTCAGGGCCTACACCTTGAACCACTCCACCAGCCCCTTTTTTGTGATGAAATTTTTTGAGATAGTGTCTTGTGAACTATTTGCCTGGACTGGCTTTGAACCGAGATCCTCCTGATCTCTGTCTCCTGAGTAACTAGGATTACAGCTATGAGCTACTGGTGCCTGGCTCAGGATGAGGTTTTGAAGATCATGCCCATGCAGAAGCAGACTCAGGCAGGCCAGTGCACCAGGCTCAAGGCATCTGTAGCCACTGGAGACTATGATGGTCACTTCACTCCAGGTGTTAAGTGCTCCAAGACAGTAGCCACCGCCATCTGAGAGCTATCCTCTTGGTCAAAATCTCCACTGTCCCTGTGTGGAGAGGCTACTTGGGGAACAAGACTGGCAAGTCCCACACAATCCCATGCAAGGTGACAGGCCCTTAGGTTCTGTCCTGGGGGGGCCTCACCCAGCCTCAGGAAGCACTGCCATTGTCTCAGCACCTGTGCCCAAGAAGCTACTGCTGATGACTTCAGCCAGTGGCTGCACTGCCACCCTGAGCAACTTCACCAAGGCCACCTTTGATGCCATCTCCAAGATCTATGGCTACCTGACCCTGGCCTCTGAAAAGAGACTGAATTCACTAAGTCTCCAAATCAGGAATTCACTGACCACTGTGTGAAAACCCCCCACCAGAGCCTCTGTGCAGAGGACCCAGGCTCCAGCCATGGCTACACTGCTTTCTTTTTATACAAGAAAAATAAAGTGAATTATCCCTGTAAAAAAAAAAAAAAACAACCTGCACAGTTTGGAGCCATCAGAGCCTGCAGGAATGCCCGCTTGGCACTCTCAAATTGCTCCAGCATGCGTGACACTGAACGGTGTTTTTGAATGCTGCCTGACTGGACAAGGGCAGGGCTGCTTCTGGTTGTGCCCTTAGCACAAAGCGTAGCTAGGAATGGACTCCCTAACACATGTGAATCTGGATAGCCACCTGTCCTCTCAAAGGAGGGGCACACAGCTCAGAAGGCACCCACAGTTTATGAGGCTGCACCGATGGAGGCTGGAGAATGGGGGCTAAACCCATGTGTAAGTCACCAGGAGGCCCTTGGACACTCTGCAACTGGGCCTAGCTTTCAACCCTGTGGGTCCCCATCTCCCCGTCTGTACAACAGGGAAGCTGGGCTACTTCAGACTCCTGCCGCCTTGGGGCCTGGGGAAGGAAAACTACCAGGTCCAGCACCTGCCCAGGTAAGGCAGACCTCTGGGCCTCCCTTGCTGCCTACTGTGCCTGTCTAGAAACCTCTCTGCTCCGCTTGGTGAGGCAGGGAGCTCTTAGCAGGTCTCAAAGCCCCTGAGCCTTAATGTTTGCAGGACTAAGTAAGAATCCTGGCGCTGGCCACCGTTCTTTCCTTTGCACTCTTGCCCTGGACTTTGTAAGCTGCAGATTCTCCTGGTGAATCAATAGCAATCAAATTAGAAGCAGAAGACTATCTGAGGATGGGGAGAGAAGGGACAGGCTGCAGAAGTGCAACAAGGATAGCCACCCCATGTCACAGGCACCAGAAGAACCAGCCAGTGATTCTGATGGTTTTTCTCACGGTGAGGAAAAGCCCACCACCTGCATTCGGACAGGAGTTGGGATGGAGGATGGAGAAGATCAGAGGCTGTTCTCAGCCAGGTTTCAGCTGCCTGGGACTATGTCATAAAGAAGGGCTGCACTTTCACCAAGTGTGGTGACACACTCATGAGACTGAAGCAGGAGGAGCACAAGTTCAAGGCCAGCCTAGGTTACATAGTGAGACCTTGTGTCAACAATAAATTTTGTTAAAAAAAAAAAAAAACAAGCAAGAATGGCTGCACCCAGACCTCCCCTAACTGATTCACCCAAGGTCTGGGCACTACATGGAGGAGGGAAGGGCAGCCACTTCTGGAACCCCAAGGAAGGGGACCAGGATTGGGGAATGGGATATGGCTGGGGGAAAGGGGTGGGCTGGCCACTGATGGATCTCACCAAAAGGGCTTATGTGAGGGGCTGAAGAAGTATAGGTGGTAGTTTTTTATACTGGAGACCTTAACAAGGTAATTATCTCTGAGAAGAGAGGAGGCATTTTTTTAAAAAAAAACCAAAATCTGACAAGAAGGATGAGGCAGATAATGGCAGGGTGTGCTGTGCATTCTCAGGATGCTGGGGGCCCCAGGAGATGGGGAGTGGGAGGGATGGGACCCAAAAGCCAAGAAACAGCAGGAAAAAAGTGAGCCAACTCAGACATCCCACGCCCCCAAGTCTGTGGGAGGTTAGTGAGCTCAGAGGACAGGGCGACAGAGAGGGTCCCACTAAGAGGGGGTGGGGAGGGCCTGGAGTGGTTTGTGGGACATGAGGTGGGGTATCCAGGCACCAGAGAAGGGGCAGTCAGTCTCCCATCCAGCTCCAGACCCACCCAGCGCTGCATCTTCAAATAAGCAGACGCCAGTCTGATGCGGCGTGAGGGAGAGGGAGATGTGCATGTACAGTTGTCCTCCACATCTATCTGTGGGGCCTTGGTTCCAGAACCTGCTGTGGGTACCACAATCTTCAGATGCTCAAGTCCCTTATATAAAATGACACAAGAATTTGCACAGAACCTAGCACTGGCCTCTCATACAATTAAGTCAGTTCTAGATTACTTGAGACACCCAATGTAAGGCAAGTGCTGTGAAATGTTGAGGGAACAATGAAAACAGAGTCTTACATATTCAGTACAGTCTCGATTCTTTTCCCAACATGTTCTATCTGTGTTTGGTTGAAACCCTAGAAGTGGAGCCCACAGACACTGAGGGCCCTCTGTATTCAGTCCTTCCGGGACTCCAAGAATTGTACCTGGGAAATTGTAGATGTAGAAGTGAAAAGGGCAAGTACTTTCCAGCTGCTGTGGAAAGGGGGAGAGTGTGTGTGTTGTGAGAAAAAACAGAGGGATGACATTTGGAAAGACCTTGTTGGGAGCTGAGAGGAGGCTGCTTTGGGCTTGGGGACGGGTTTTTAATAGGCCTTTGGAAAAATCAGATGTGACCAAGTCCCTAGCATGGGGCTTGTGCTGAGTCAAGAAAGAAGCGAGTGGCTCACTCTGTAATCCCAGCTACTTGGGAGGCAGAGATCAGGAGGATAAAGGTCAACCCAGGCAAAAAGTTAGTGAGGTCTTTGTCTCAATCAATAAACTGAATGAAAAGACTGTGCCTGTGATCCTAGCTATGCAGGAGGCCATAGGAAAGAGGATCATGGTCTGAGGCTGCCCCAGGATGAAAAGCAAAATCCCATCTGAAAAATAACCTAAAGCAAGAAGGGGTGGGGCATGGCTCAAGTGATAGAGTGCTTGCCTAGCAAGCACAAGGCCCTGAGTTCAAACCCCAGTACCACCAAAAAAACCCAAAAACAAACAAACAAAAAATTGAGGACTGGTTGGGAGACTGAAATGCAGACCTCACACAGGAGTGGGGACACCAATGGTGGCAAACTCTGGTCCTGGTGGCCAGTGGGATGAAGTGAGAGACCAGCTCCAGCAGAAGGAAGGCAGAGCCAGGCTGCCCCAGCAGGCAGGGCGGGTTCATGAGTCAGGGAAGAAGGAACAGTATGGTGCAGACTGGATCTGAGTGGGCAGTGGAAGACACTGGCCCAGGAGGTTAGGCTGGAAAGGAAGGAGCCAGGGGAAAGAGTAGGAGGGGCTGTAGGAAGGACCACAGCTAAAAATGAGGGAGGTGGCAGCCAGTGGTGAACTTTAAGCCAAGAAGAGACATGATGAATTTTAAAAGTGCTGTGCAGAGGAAGGGCAGAGGCAGGGAGACCAGTGAGGAGGCTCCTGCAAGCATCCTAGCAGGAGATGGGGATGTGAACTGAGCACAGAGGGCTTTCAGATGTGCAGCTTACCTGCCAGCCTCTGAGGGCTGACCTCAAACAACCCAGGACCCAGCACCTGACTCAAGATTCTGTCTTTCAGGTAAGACAAACTTTCTCAGAGGCAGGACTATGTGGTGGTTGGACCCCCTAGAGCCTCAGTTGACTGGCTGGTCCCCATGCTTGCTGCTCTGTGGCTCCTAGGCTCATTTTCTTGTGCCAGGAAGAGGGACAGGGCAGAGACTTGAGGAACTGGGTTCTGGTATTCACCATCTGCAAAATGAGGGGGTCTGAGATGGCATCAACAGCAGGGACCCCAGTCCCAATGCCCACAGCCAAACAGCAGGAGACCACAGCTTCTTGCTCAGTGCACAGCAGGATGGTGCTGGCAGGTGGGAGAGGGAAGGTGGACAAGGTGTCACAACAAGAAAATATAGGGTAGAGCAAACTCCAAATCTAGCGTCTGGTCCCCTCTGACTGAAGGGTCTTTGGGACAAAGTCATAACCTTGAGCTCCTCAGTCCCACAGCTTCTGTGGGACTATTGGTGAACTTTGCCCTTGAACCTCAAAGGCTTGTGACAAAAAAGACAGGATGCTGCGTCAAGGGAAGGCCCCGTGGATGGGGTGGCTCACACTCCTTCTGGTGACAGCACCAGATGTTACTACCTCTGGATGCCCAGAACCAAGGGCACCTGGACTCCAGCTCTAAGACCTTGGCCAAGCGATGGGAAATCTCTCCTTCAGAGCTCCAGCCTCCAGGACAGCTGGAGGGAGCCTCAGTGAGGCTGGCTGGGCACTCAGGCTGGTCTGGGAATTTTCAAGGCGAGGTACAAGGCGGCTCAGGGTGGCAAGACCGCAGAGAGAGGGCGCGGTTTCCCTCCTCGCCACGAGGTGGCGCACTCGGCCCCAGGACAGGAACGGGCGACTCACCAGCTCAGTGGCGTCCTGGCCCCGGAGCAGCGGCTTCTCTTCGGGGAATCGCAGCTCTTGCAGCCCGGCCATGGTCACGTCGTGCAGCAGGAGCCCTAGGAAGGAGGAAGGGCGAGGTTGGGTCCTGCTCCGGAGCTCCTGGGCGGAGAAGGGCTGGGGGAGACGCTGGCGCAAGAAGACTGCGAGCCACACCGATCCTCCCGCAAGACCAGCTTATTTATCTCAGGGGATAAATATTATTTATATATTATTTGCTCTTAAAAGTCAAATCGTGTTTTGAAAAGCTAGGAAAGCAATACAATGACGATCCTAAAATGGTTTCAAGCAAGATCCTGCATTTATTGAGAAGCAGAGGGAAGACTGGGAAGGCCAAAGGCAGGATCAGAAGCAGACAGGGGTCCCCTGTGGAGACCCCGGGTTCCGGAAGTGGACAGGGAGGTTCTGGGGACAGAGGCTGGAAAGAGCTGAGGGTTCTCCTCAGCTGGAGAAAGAGCCTGGGAGGGGGTGAGAGGACACTTGCAAGAGAACGATGTTGAAGAGGGGGTGCCAGTCAGGACAGGCAGGGAGGGGATGATGCTCAGGACTTCTCACCCCACAGCTACTGGATGGTAGGTTCCAAGCCCCAATTGCTGGGTGTTCCTGGGAGGCCCCGGGGGGCCTCTGACTCTCAAAGGAAGAAAGGGTCACACCTAACTAAGGTATATATATATATATATATATATGCTCTTGTCTGTGTTTGGAGGAGCCCGCAGTGGGGAAGGAAAAGAGGGCCCAGGACAGGCAATTCTTCCAGGAGTGACAGAACTGTTCCTCACCTGCATTTCAGAATGGAGAGGTCAGAACCCATCCAGGGGAAGACTAGCCAAAGGATTTGATCTGGAAATTCATAAAATTAAAACTGGCCAGTAAATATGTGGAAAAAGTACTCAAGCTCACCAGATGGCAGACCTGAGAAATCACCCTGCAGCCTCACTGATGGCCTCTGGACATCCCATGGTGATCAGCTCTGACCACCCGGCTCTGTTTGGTGCCAAAGGCTTGTCCTATGACTTCTATGAGGTCTTCATAGGGATTGCAGGGAATAAGGCTGACCTGAGGACCCTCAAGCTGCTGGTCACAAACTCTATCAAGTACAGCTCCATGGTGAAGTCGGAGAAGGACTTTCTCATGAAAGTCTGGTGGATCAAATGGAACCAGTTCATAGAAAAGCTGGCCCAGAGGCGAAGATGAAGTGAGCAGCCTTCCTTGCATCTCCTTCCCTCCACACCAATTCAGCCTACTTCCGTAGTCCTAGAGCCATGCTGGCCCAGCCTTCTCCATTTCGGTCTCAAAAGTGACTTTGTGAAGGTTGCCGATGGCCTCTGCATGGCTTGACGGGTCAGAAACACTTGATCAGCGGGCCACACTCATCTTTTTCACATACTCTGCTCTCTTGGCCTTGGTGACATCCACCCTCTCTGTGCCCCCTCACTCTGCCCTTGCTCAGGTCCCCTTTCCCAGAGCCTTTCTCTCTGTGAGGTCTCCTCCCAGCTCGGTCCTGGATGACTCCTCTGCTCCCGTCTCTTTCTTTCTCTCCTTTTTCTCTTCTCTTCACCTATACTCATTTTCTAGGCGTTTCTCATTCTCGCCGCCTGCTGTGTGCTCTACCTGCCTGTCCACCTTCAGATTCCACCCTGGCCACCTTCTCAGAAGGCTTCTGGAGCCCCCCTGGCCTGGTACTCTGGCTGGTGGCACCTGTTCTTCTTCATGGTTCCCACAACAATTTGTAATCATGATTGATTTCTGTTTGCAGTCTAGTCCCACCAAAAAGGCCATGTGAATGGGCACTCGTGAGTGTCTCTCTGAGATGTAGAGTCAGCACCTAGCCCTGCCCCCAGACCTAGTTAGTACTTAATAAAGAATGTGTTGAATGCAAAAAAAAAAAAAAAAAAAAGCTCACCAGAAGTCAAAGAAACTCAATTAAAACGAAACTCTTCTTATTTTTGTTATTATTTTGACCAAGGGACCTGGCAAAGTATGCATAGCTAGCAAAAGCAGCATGGAAACCCTCACTTCCTTCTATTCCTTGCTACATTGGTACATTGTGGCCATAAAACACAATGATTGAGCCTTCTAGAGGGCATTATTGCAAAAAGTTAAATTAGTTCAAAGGTTCATACTTGGAGCTGGGGTCACAGCTCAGTCGTAGAGTGCTTGCCTACCATGCACAGGGCCCTCGGTTCCCCAGCACCCCCCCCAAAAAAAAAAAAAAGAAAGAAAAGGTTAAACCATTTGATTCAGCAATCCCCCTCCCCTGGGAGAAATTCCCTAAAACCAGAAAGGGCACCCGCAGGCTTAGCTTTAGGAATGCCTACCACCACAGTGCCATCTGAAGTAGAGAAAAACTGGAAAACCCAGTGAGTTTCTAGCTACGTACCTTATTTCATTAATTTAGGACCATTTAATAACATGAGGGAAATGCCTGTATCACAATAAATAGAAAAAGCAGCTACAAAAGAAATATTCAGCGGTAGTAGAGTGGTTCATGTGGTAGAGCGCCTGCCTAGTAAGTGTGAGGCCCTGAGTTCAAACCCCAGTACCGCCCCCCCACCAAAAAAATGCAGTATTATCTCAAATGTGAAAATATGAATAGTCCCACAAAAACAGTCTGGAAGGATGTACATCAAAAATTTCCAGGAGGCTGGGGGAGGGTCCTACGTTCAAGGATAGCCTGAGCTACATAATGAGATCATCTCAAAACTAAAAATAAATGAATAACTAAAATTCCCAGGTATTAATCCTGGGTGGAGGACTGAAAACTGGGTGTACAGTCTGAAATCAGAAAGAAAAAAAAAAGGCTGGAACATTTAAGGACTTGTTGAAGATCAGTGCCAATCCCTTTCACTCTGGTGAGAAGACGGAGGCTGATGGTGGCCCGTGACTTGCCCAGACTGTGACAGGGTTAGGCTCTTGTCCAGTGAGCGGTGCTCAGTGGGAGAACCACAGCCGCCTAGATCAGAAGATTGGAGGGATGGATTCCTGGACTCCTTGATGTCTCCCTCCGTCCTTCCCCTTCCAACGCCATTTCTTCCTTCCCTTTTTTCTTCTTTTTTGTGGTACTGGGATTTGAACTCAGGGCCTACACCTTGAGCCGCTCCATGAGCCCTTTTTTGTGATGGGTTTTTTGAGATAGAGTCTCATAAACTATTTGCCCAGGGCTGGCTTTGAACCTCCATCCTCTGATCTCTGCCTCCTGAGTAGCTAGGATCACAGGCACAAGCCACCAGCGTACTGGTGCCACTACAACTCTATTTCTTAAAGACTCCCTTTGCCCTAAAGAGCACAGCACCCATCAGCTGGATGGTCAGATATCCTTGCCCCCTCAGCTTGACCCCTCAGCTGCTCCCTATGGGAAGCCCAGTGACCAAAGTCAGCCGAAAGGCACAGGGCTCAGAGGGAACATACTCCTGTGGCAGGGCTCATGGCATCTAGGTGTGCTGGGCTGGCTGGGAACTGCTGACCACCCAGCTCCAAAGGACAGCGGTGAAGCCCCAGATGAGCCAGCATCTCAGCATAAGAAGGCTCTGCTGCAGGGCGCAGGGTCCCTGCACCACTACACCCTGCCAGCTCTCTGTTCCCAGTGGTTTCCCAGGAAACCAGCTAATACAATGCAGATGGGCTGTATTTTTAGAAAGGCGTCCTTTCCCCTCTCCCTGCCCCTTTACCCTTCCATCCACCAGAGTGGGAAGTTGAAAGAGGGCTCCCACCTTGAGAAACTTCCCCTATTAGGACTTTCTTAAACACCTGCCTCCCTGACCCCCACCTCAAATTCAGCTGTAGGCCGCACTGGGTTGTCCTGTCCCCCATCCTCCTATGAAACCACTCTGGAGACCATCCTCCCCAAGGATGGTGCTATTAAAAGGGCTGGGAGTGGGCAGCACAGGGACAGACGGCCTGTGACAGAGGGAGTGGCAGGGAAGGGGTGGGAAGAGGCCTTGTAGTCCAGAGAAACTGGGAATGTCTCTGCCCATGGAAAACACACAGTTCACCAGAGAAATGGCTGGACCCCAAAATGCAGAGCCCAATCTGCACTTCCTCCTGAAAGCTACTGCCTTCTATCTATGTCAATGTGAACCAGACCTGTTCTGCTTTTCCATGTGTTTCTATGAACTCCTATCTCTTCAACCAACCCTGTGCACGTGCGCACACACACACACACACACACACACACACACACACACAGAGCACATTTCCCCTACACTTAAGACAGCCCTTTTTGGGCTCTCACACTTATAGGTAAAGACCCCAGATGACTCAGTAGATTCACCCCAGGAGCCCCATTCCCTTGCTCATGTTGTTCCCAACTGCCTGATATGCCTTTCCCCATCTGAGTCACAGTAACAAAAGGAACCATTAATACTTACTGAGCTGACTAGGTTCCAGGCACTGTTTCAGCATTTTACATGTATAAATACATCAAATTCTTCCCGTGCCACCCAGAGGGAGGGCCCACTCGTGTCCTCATGTGTAGCTGAGGGTAAGGCCCAGGAGATGACATGACCAGTTTGAGGTCTCACCAGTGGGAGGTGATAAACCTGATTTGAACAATGAGCTATGTTGCCTCAGTAACTCACTGATGTGTGGGTGAGTGGCTTCACCTCCCTACCACAGGCTCCCTGAGGACAAAGGCTGGTTCTGTCAATCTGCCCAGCTCCATTGGAACCCCATGTCACAAGAGGCTCAATAGCTGGAGAACTGGACAATTCGCCAACTCCAGAACAGGCTGGAAATCCTCCTGGCCGACCTGCCTGAAGCTGCAGAAGGGCTCAGAGTGCAATTTGTCTGCAATTACACTTGAAGATCTTTCTGGAGGTCTCTGTCCACCATTTGGTACTGGGTTGTTGGGCAGGGTTGGGTGGCGAGAAGGTTCCAGGGTGAGTTGGGTCATCAGCCTTAGAGGAAGCAGAAGCCTGCCTGTGCACCCCCCTGTCCTGGGAATCTTGACCTGGTCCTCTCCTCACCCTCAAATCCTACTGCACCCCTCTCACTGTGAGCCTCACCAGACCCCCCAAAGGGAAGAGACTCAGCAGCTCTGCATTCCAGGCTCAGCTGGAAA